TGCCCGGGCGGCCGCAGCGGTGCGGCGGGCGGGCGGAGGCCGCGGAGGGCCCGACCGGCCGGGTCCAAGGCTCCGGCCGCCGGGAGAGGGAAGCGGAGAGCCGTTGGCCGGGCGAGCGAGGCCGCCGTTCCTCTGTTCGCACTGCCGGGCAGCGGCGGCCCGGCGGCTGCGGGGCGGGAGGCTCCGAGCAGTTAGGCGCGCCGGCCGCGGAACTGCGGGTCGCCGGGCGGGAGGTCCGGGGGGTCCGCGGGGCCGGGAGCGGGCAGCGCCTGGGGGGGTGCGGAGCGCGGGGGGGGTGCGTGACGGAGCCTCACTGCCATGTCGAAGCCGGCGGCGGCCGTGACTGAGAGCTGTTGTGCGAGCTGCCGAGCGCGGGCGATGAAGATGCTGGCCTAGTCCTTAAAAAACGCAGCGTTCCCGGTGGGAGTTGCTGCAGCTGCTGAAGTAGTTCTGGTAGTCGCTAAACCGTGTCTCCTTACGCCTGGCACTCGGCCCTGCTGAAACGGGCTCCGCATGGCTCCGCTCGCCTCAGGAGGCCCAAATACTCGTGGTTGCAGAGCTTCATTCTGCATTGTTACTGCATTCATCCCTTTATCTCCTTGAAACTTGTGCCTACCAGCCAGCCGCTCACCTTACACTCCCTTACTTAGGCACCATGAAGTGTGAATTCACAGTTGCTGAATTTTGTGATGAAAAAATCAGTCATGAGACTGTTTTTCCCCTTTTCTTGTTTTTGGAAGTGCTTTGAGCTGTAGCTGGCTCCACATTGGTAAGTGTCTGCTCAGCACAATGGTGTGCAAGAGGTGTACAGGACACTGTCCCAGCGGAGAGCTGAGGGCCTTTGATTGCTTCGCTGAGGCACCAAAATGATGGGATCAGTAAAAGAGGGGAGATTTAGCTTAGAGATGGAACTAAATTCTTGAGTCAGAGCGTGGTGAGGCACTGTCACAGCTGTCCAGAATGCTATGGGTGTCCCATCCCTGGAGGCACTCAAGGCCGGGTTGGCTGGGGCCCTGGGCAGCTGAACTGTGAAGTAGCAGCCCTGCCTGGCAGGGGGTTGGAACTGGATGATACTTCAAGTTCCTTCCAACCCAAACCGCTCTATGGTTCTGTAACTCTAAAGATGTGACTGTGTCAGAGTGCAGGGCCTGGCCTATGCTTCAAGTATGGTGCTCTGCTGTAGTATTTTGGGCTGTGCTTAAGTGTCTGCTTAAAATTATTTTAATATTACAATGGGGATGTACCTACCCATGCCAGCCAATCTTATACCCCTGTAATCTATGGCACAGTAAACAGTCGGTCACAACGGCTACTGGTATAGACAGGTTATCTCATAGGGCTCTTTTCTGCTCTTCTGTGACTGCAGAGCTTTCCACGTTTTACATCTTATCCATGGCCATTCTTAAAGCTGTCACCATTTGGGCTGTTTGGAGAAGAACAAGAACTTTATTTCTTTCACATCTTCAAAACACTTGCAGGGCACTGACGGGTTGCATGGCTTGCTCATAGGACCCTGTCCAACTGAAGGTGCCTTCTGCTTTCCATGAGCACAAAAGCTCTGTAACAAATATCTTTCATAACTGCCTGAGCAAACTGCTGGGAGAGGAAAATAAACGTGCAGATGAGCACTTTCTTTGTTAGGATACATTTTTCTATGGTTTCTGGCTGCTGAAATGCAAAGCAGTGTAAGTGCTTCTAGGAAATGTTTGTTGGCAAAATGAATCTTCATAAATAAAGTTACTGAAATTACAGGAATATTGTAAGACATACATTCCCTAATTGTGGGATGTAATATAGTATTCAGTCGTTATGTGCCTGCTGCTGGAAAGGAAGAAAACTATGCCACTGTGTGGAGGGCTTGCAGGGAGTCAGTTTGAGGCAGAAAACCAGCATTTGGCAGCTCTAGCCAAGAGATAGAGAGGGATTTGTTGTCATTTTGGGCTTGTTTGGGAGGAAAACTGCTAAATTTTATTGAAGAACAGTGAGCAGTCTTGTTCTTAGGAATAATTACAAACATAAGAAGCTCAGGCTTTCACAAGGAATTCCTGCAGGTAGCCAACGGAGGGCTGCAGGGAGCCAAGCCGGGAACTGCATTTCAGCCATAATTTCTGCTGCTCCCAGTGCACTGCAGTTGTCTTGGTTTAATGAAAACAGTGTTAAAGTACTGCATTCCTGCTCTGCTAAAGGAAATCTTTTCTGACTCAAGCTCAATTTGGATCCAGAATTCCTATTCCTTATTGATTTGTAATATAATAAACTGCTAGAGTTATAAATGTGAATATGTGTCTTCACTTGAGCACCTGCATCCTCCTGCTACAAAAGAGGGTGCCGGGCAACCAGAGCTGCACACTGCTTGACCTTTTTCTTATCTGCAACCTGCAGGCACGAGGAGCGGTTTGTCTTTTGTTTTATGAAGGTAAATAGTGAGGCTTTGGGATGGCATCCTGGTAAGAGCAGGAGACAAAGGAAAATGTACCTCCCTTCTACATGAGCAAAATATCATTGGCATAGTAACAGTAGAGTAATTGCTTGCTTCAATTTCTGACATTAATTGCTGAGGTTATAATAGATACCTCATAAAATTCCAGGTGTTTGCCTTATGATAGCCCTAAGTGTCCAAGGTCTCATATACACATAACTGTCAGCAGAACGCCGCTTGTTTGTTTGGTGTTACAGCAGAGTCTTGTAGGGTGGTGGTATTTTATCCAGGATGCATTGAGTCTGCCGTCAGCAGTTTTGAGCAGAACTCCAAAGGCCCGAGTGCCAGATGTCCTAGAGACAAAGAGCTGAAATTAAATCATGCTTTCCATGTCCCAAGGAAGAACATTTCCACAATCATAAGGCTGTGGTCGCTTTGCAGAGTCAGCTCAGGGAGGGCAGTGGTCCTTTTGGGGCGAATTCTTCTGCCAAAGTGTAACAAACTGAAAGCACTTTTCCGGGGTCTTTCTGTGACTGAGGAAAAGGATGTGTGAAGAACAGCAAGGACAGATCTTGGTAACAGCACAACCAATGAACTTTATATTTCTTTTTGTTTCATGTTCAAGGCTTACATGAATCCCATAGCTATGGCCAGAGCACGAGGTCCTGCCCAAAATTCAGGACCAACAATACAAGACTACTTGAACAGACCAAGGCCGACATGGTAAGTGCCTGAGCTGAGTGAAAGATTTGTTCCCTGTTCTCTCAGTTACTTACATCCTCCTTCAAATACAGTGATACACTTTGGAAGGTTCCTTGGCTCTGGCGAAAATGTTATTTTCTAAATGCATATTCAGTCTCTTTTAAAAATAATATTTCACTTTGAAATACGTTTCACATTTGTCTTTAAATACCTTGGCTCAGAAGTTTCTCAAAAGAGGAAAATGTTGGATACTTTACCTCTTTCAGAATCCTAATGCTTTAAAGTATGCGGACGTATTAAATTTTTAAAGCAAAGTAATCTTTGGTGGAAAAAAAGCATTTTGCTGGTAGATTCTTAGAACATAGTCTACCATACCCCACAAAATCATTGCTTTAAGGCACCGTCAACAGCTTACTTTACATTCAGGCCATTTTAAGCCCTTTCTTAAGAAATTAGAGCATAATTTACCTAATTGCAAAGTTAGCTTTAGATCTTTCAGAGAGGTTTAGCTACCGTGCTGAAGTTATTACAGTTAGGTTACCATATGTGTAACATCTAAGATAATTTTCCTGTTGGAAGTTCAGCCAAAGCTAAACTTCAAAAAAAAACCCACATAAAGTTAGACACTGAAGCAGGTCTTTAAATTGTGAGAATACAGTGACTGATCTCTCATCCTTTTGGTACAGGGAAGAAGTGAAAGAACAGTTAGAGAAGAAAAAGAAGGGATCCAGGGCTTTGGCTGAGTTTGAAGAGAAGATGAACGAGGTTGGTAGTGTTGTTAGTATGTTAATGCCCCAGCTGTCTTATCTTGTATGCTGCTTTTCTTCCCTTATCATTAACAGCTCCAAGTACCCGTAACGTTTTACTGTGCTCAATCTCATAATGAGTGAACGTTTTATTTTGTTTGTATTGAATATTAACATTACTTATTAACCAATGAAGTGCTACTCCTGATTCAGAGAAACACTGCATAAAAGGTTTTGAGAAATGCTGTGAAGAAAATGTGAACTAATCATCACTTGTTTAAGGTCACACAATCCAAACACATTGGGAAGAGGTGGGTTACTGGAATCAGGCTGCATTGGTGAGGAACATGCATATGATTTGGATATGGGAGAGTACACTAAGAGTGGCCTTGAATGTCCAAATGTGCTTATGGAACACTTCTCTCTTATCCTAAGCTGATTACATTCTGTGCTGGTTCCCTGCTATAAGTGGGGCTATTCTGGTAACTGTGTTTAGCATCCGCTGGAGATCAGCGTGCTGTAAGAAAGTTTCGTATATGACTCCTGTTGTATACCTAGGAAGGAAACAGTAGATGATTAATTTAACTGCTCTGTTCCCTTCTTGGATTCTGGTATCTTGGAATACGCTTCAAGGAGTAATCTTCAACGCTGTGTGAGAGTTTCTGGTTGAAGCAGATAGTGCTCCGGGGGCTGGAGCACCTCCCCTGTGAAGACTGGCTGAGGGAGCTGGGTTTGTTCAGCCTGGAGAAAGAAGGCTGCAGGGTGACCTCATTGCAGCCTTTCAGTACCTAAAGGGAGCCTACAAACAGGAAGGGAATCAGCTCTTTGAAAGGGTTGATAACAGCAGGATAAGTGGAAATAGTTTCAAATTGAGGGAGGAGAGAATTTGGTTGGATGTCAGGGGGAAATTCTTTACAGAGAGAGCGGTGAGGCGCTGGAACAGGCTGCCCAGAGAGCTTGTGGATGCCCCATCTCTGGAGGTGTTCAAGGCCGGATTGGATGGGGCCCTGGGCAGCCTGGTCTAGTATTAGATGGGAGGTTGGTGGTCCTGCATGTGGCAGGGGGTTGGAGATTCGTGATCCTTGAGGTCCTTCCAACCCTGGCCATTCTGTGTGATTCAGTGTGATTCTGTGTGCCCCTGTTACTGAAAGGGCTTCATACCATGCTTGTTACATCTTTTTGCCTCAGAATTTATACCAATATTTGGAAGATGAGAGGATGCAATTCTGAGGAGACTGGTTGTTTTGTGCTCTGTCAGTTTCAGCTTTGTGAGTTTGGTTTAGTATTTTATTGTGTCTGTTTGCTTTATTATGAATTATTTGTAGCTTCTAAGTACAGATCTCTCAGTGGTAGAAAGTGTTACAAGTCCCTGACTGAGGTGCCCTCTCAGTTTACTGACAGATGTTCTGGTGCTTTTTGTTTTATTGGTTTATTGGTTTTGTGGGTTTTCTTGTTTTGTTTTTGTTTTGTTAAAGAACACATACCCAATCTGTTTCTACTTCAGAGAGAATGTCTGCCTAACAAAGCCCAGTCTGTTGTCAGAGGGTCTGTAGGCAGCACCAGGAGGCTGAAGTGCCCAGCCTGCTGTGGTACTCTGTAAGCATTGCCTTGGATCACAGAAACACACTGCATGCAGCACTGTATCCTGGCTAACCTTGTGACTTCTTTCAGCAGCACTGTTAAGCTAATTCACCATGTGCTGACCTGGGGTTCTGTGTATCATATTGCACTGCACGTGTATAATCATATTCAAATCCTGGTATTTCTTTTCCTTCAGCACAGTATGTGGGTTGTCATTTCTTTGCCAGAACAATAGCAGCATGTTAGGAGGAAAGGAAGAATAAAAATGATAATAATAAAGAAAGGAGCACCTGATGTTGCTAACATGGAAAGCAGGAATAGCTCAAGCTAGCAGAATTTCGGGGTGATGGGATGTTGGATGCTTCAGAGCCCTTAGAAGTGGAATTTGGAATAGACTGAGAGAACTCGTGAGGGAAACAAAAGAGATGTGCATATAATGAAGTTCTAATCATTGACAATGACAAAGCACAGGACACACACTTGATACACCCGTGTGTTGAAGAAGGGCCAGGAACATTTGTCTTGCAGTTCTGCTTCGGGTGCTTTTAAAACATAGGCAGAGTGCCTGTTTGTTTGGTAGGCTGACCCCACCGTACTGATGTGTTCTAACAGGAGCTCTGTGGTACTACAAAATCAGAGACCAAAATTGATCACCTCCAAGATAAATAACCATGTCCTAAGCCCAACTGACTTGAACATTAAGGTGTGAACTAAGATAAATGGATTAATTTTAATCTTCTGCAATACTAAGTGCACCATAGCCATGGTTAATACTACAGACTGTTTATTTTCTGTGGATTTTATGAAAACTCATTAATTCAAGTAAACAACACGATTTTGACAGAGATCTCTTAATAGAGCTGTTTGGAAATAATGGTCATGTCACCCTCATTTTGTTTGTTTCAGAATTGGAAGAAAGAACTGGAAAAACACAGGGAGAAATTACTGGGTGGAAATGAGAGTTCCTCCAAAAAGAAAGAGGTCAGTTATTTTCAATTTGGTTACAGTTGGTATTTGGAACTGGTATTTGCAGTACGAAATGCCATGAAAACATTTTAAAAACCAGCATCAGTGTATATAAACCTAAATGCACAGGAACACATTGCCAAAAATAACATTTGTTTTATTCTATTTTTAAGAAAAAGAAAAAAGAAAAGAAGAAATCTAGTAGGGTGAGCAAAATTTTCAATCTTCTGAGCTTTTTTTGCTTTGGGATTGTGCATATTTGCTATTTGTGTTTTCTTGGAAAGAGGGGATATAGTTGTAATTTTGAATTTGGATGTTATTAAAATTACCTGATTTTAATTGGAGAGAGGCAGATTATTCCGCACAAGGAGAATTTTACTTCTGCTTAAAGAGCAATTGGTGGGAAGGGAAAACATCAAATATACATTATCACATTAAAAATATCAGAGGTCAGTTTTTAAGTCTTATTTAAGAAAATCTACGTGAGCCCAAGTTCTTGTAAGTGTAAGTGTGAAGTAAACAGTTACTGACAGTGCTTTGTAAACGGAGTGATCTTAAGATTAGGTGTTTGCATGGACTTTTACTTATTTGGTAGAAAAAATGCTGCATCTCACAAGCTTCACTTTTTGTTGTGTTTGGTCAAGTTGTCTTCATCTTCCTCTTCTTCATCAAGCTCTGATTCTTCCAGCAGTGCATCTGATTCAGAAGATGAGGTAAGCACTAAACCACCAGGATGTAACACGTTTTGTATGTTGAGTGAAATGTTGCCTTTGTATTGATCTCAGCATGCTTCAGGCATAACAGTGGAGCGTGTTCTTCTTGTGTTAAGAGAACTCCTCCATCATGGAGGAAATACTTGGGATTTCTGTTTTGAACATGGAAGATTAAACTGAAAATGAGTAAGCATTTTACCACGTGTACCCTAGTCACTGAAATAATGGCTAGTGTTTGTTTAATTTTACTTACTATTTACTGGCTTTAACAGCCAATAAAGGTACTTTAAAAGGGTGATACTGTAGTTCATGATGGAGTGAAGAGAAGCAGTGAGGACTTACTACACATGTTAACCCATTTTATCTGTAGAACCTGAGATTCATTGCAAAATGATGTATTGCAAACTAGACTAACCCACAACAATACTCTGAAGCCACTATAATAAAACAGAGAGGTTTACATACTGTGGAAAAGATTGTTCTGGTCTTGAGATATTCTTTGGATCTAGTATAGCGTCAGCAGTTCTGAACTATTCTGAATCTTAACCTCTAAATTCCTATTAACACAGCTGAGATCTTTGAGCAAGAAATAGAGCATTAGCATCTTGCTGTGAAGGTTTGCAGAGTATCTCAAACTGCAGATGCTGAAAGCAGCCTCATTATGCAGTCTTTTTTGACATATGTCAACCAGTATTATTGGGTAAAAAGCAAAGAAAAATGACTGTAATCATAAAAATAATAGAATGGCTTTGGTTGGAAGGGACCTCTAAAATTATCTATTTCCAACCCTCTCTCTAGTTCCAACACCTCCCGCTCTACCAGGTGGTGGAATGCTTCCAGGGTGGTGGCATCCACAACCTCTGTGGCCAACCTGTCCCAGTGTCTCACAACCCTCTCAGCAAAGAATGTCTTCCTAATATCTACTCTAAATCTACCCTCTTCCAGTTTAAAATCATTTCCCCTCATCCTGTCGCTGCATGCCTTTATAAAAAGTGTGTGATCAGAATAAGGCTTTCAGGCTGCCATTCTAGAACATGAGGGGAAAACAAAAGTAACGTAGAAGAATGCACAAGTAACGTAGAATGCACAGTGGCATGCATATTTTTCTGTCAAAGGATATTTCATATAAAAAGTCGAATTAAATACCAGCTCACACTTCATCATGAGACTTAACATAGATTTTGGCAATATATTTTAAAATATTCTTTGAGGGCTTCGTTTGCATGAAGCCATTTAAATTTGGTACATTTGGTGCTTATGATACAGTTGTGAATTTTAGATATATATCTGTTCAATAACTTCTTCATAAACGACTGTATTTTAGGAGGCTAGCTTGTAAACTGAATCCATTTCTGTGCTGACATGGATTTGTATGCTTTTCCAGTAGAATCCCCCCAGCTCACCACATTATTTTTACTAGTTTAGCATAAATCTTTTTTAGAGATAGTCAGGTTCTGTAGCATACATCTAAATGATAAACAGAATCTAGGGAACCTGAATTTTACTCTAGTTTATTTTTTTTCAATGCGGAAGAGATACAAATGTCTTCCACTAAAGGAATCAATTGTTGTATATTTATTCCTCAAGAGAAAATGATAATATGTAGGAATTTGGCATTCCCTATTCTTTGCATGTAAGTTTTTAGTATCTAGTGAAAATAAATTCAGGATTGTCTTTTTCTTTTTTCCTGAAATATTTGTGGATAGGATAAAAAGCAGGGGAAGAAAAAAAAGAAAAAGAAACACCGCTCCTCACGGAAATCTTCATCAAGCTCAGCTTCTGAATCTGAGTCAGACAGCAAGGTAATTAAGTACACATTACCCTCAGGAAATGTCTCTGATCTGTGTTCTAAAGACAAGTGTTTCTGACTTCATAATTGCTGTATCCAAAGTCATGCATTCTTACTGTAGCTGAGCTGTGCTTATATCTTTTAAGTTGTGATCAGGAACGTACCTCTGCTGTCCACAGTGTCTTGGCAGAATACAGTTCCTCTTTAGAAAATAAATATTCCATCAGTTTTTGTCTACTTTTCTGAATTCAGACATAAACAGTTTTTGCGCTGCTCAGATGTTTTAATACTACATTAACACTTCAAAAATGAAAATGTTCTGTAATGTTCTTGTCAACATGCTGTTATTGAATTGAATACCATCTGTGAAAATGCAGCTATTTCAGGGAATCAGTGGCCACAATACTGCCTTCCTAAGTGAGTTTGGGCCGAATAGTTGTCCGTTGGACCTCTCAGCCTCGCAAATAAGTAGTAAATTGAAAGTTTGGGTTTCTTTTTTAATACTTAAAGTAGAGGAGAGTGTGCTTGCAGGCACAACATTAGTGAAGATGTATGTGGCAATCCGTTTTGTTACCATTTTTCTGTAGTAGTGGACAGTAACTCCCTTCCTTCCGAAGTAATTATAACACTATGTGTAGGCCGGCGTTTCACTGGAATTTTCTTGGAATTCCTAATTCAGAATGGTATAAAATCTGATGAATCGCTGTTTGCATCTAACTATGAATTTGTGCTAGTGGCAGTTCAAAAAGGTTTCCTGCATAAAGGGACGCAGAGATACTTTTACTTTTGAAAGTAGAAGATAGAAAACTCCATGGCAATCTCGCTTTAACCACTGCCTGATCCCCTGCGATGAGCATGGATGGAGAATAAAGGCTGCAGACTGCTGGAGGTTAGAGGTGATGGTAGTAGTGCCCGGTATCCTTTCTAGAGGCTCTTTAGGTGTACTGCTCTGAGTAAGTTCTCTGTTGTTTGATTCCACAGAGACCTTTTCTCACTGCTTGTTCTAGAAATTAGCAGCTGCCATCAAAATGTTGTTGCTTTTTGTATTGGTCATGTTAGCTACAAGTGAACAATCTTCAGTGTGCAGAAAGAGGCAAGGGGTCAAGCTGCTGCTGCAATTTCTTTTTTTAATGGAACTATTTTGTCATGGTGGATATTTTTCTTTCTACCTAGGACAGCACAAAAAAGAAGAAGTCAAAGGATGACCATGAGAAAGAGAAGGTATAGTTTTACTTTTTAAATATTTGCATCAGAACTTCATTTTACATATATAATGGGTCTCTTCCACTCCTCTACTCTCTGCCTCCCAACCCCCCGTCCCTGTTTTTGTTTGTTTGTTTGTTTGTTTTAAAGTATTTGAATACTTCAGCTTACACTTATGGTCATTGTCCAAAACTTGATAATGCAGTGCCCCCAGTTTGAGTAAGATTTTTAGGTTCCTATTTTAGTAATTGCCAGTAGAAACTGCTGGGTCAGGTTTTGTCATGAAGGTAAATGAAACAAGTATCTAATCTGCTGTAGTAGATCATGAGCACTCTAGTATGTGGGGCTTAACATTAACAGTTAAATTGACCTGAAGCATGTATGGTATTTCAGTGACACACCTGATAGGATACTGGCTCATTATTCTAAATTAAGTAACAGCAAGCAGAGGATATTTTAATATCCTTATGTTACTTATTTAATATCCTTATTTTATTATATTTTTTTAAAAATGCAGTCATAATTGCATGTTTTACTCATAGCTGCTTTAAAACATTACTGAGAAAACTTAGCTTAAGCAGGTTTATCTTATTCTGTCTTCTCTGGGCACAAAATCCCTCCCTCCTCTCCCACATGTCACCCATTTTGTACACACACCTCTAAGGGTTTTCCTCCTGCTACTACATTGAATGCAGATGATCTTGTTGACTTAAATGTTAGTTATTTCTGTGTGTAAACTAACAAAGCTTTCAGTGTCAGCCCTAGTCTTTCTTTTTCCTTTGTTAACACATCGCTCTCTGCTACTACAATCAACGTGTTATACGGTTTGACATATAAAATTTCCATTACATCAGGCAGACGTTGATTCTGTGTGTGTTTCTGTTTCCCAGTTCTCATTTCTGAACTCTTCTTGAGTATCTTCTCTTCAAAGAGCAAGTGACTACCATAGCCCCTTAATCTTGGTTAAGCTGTATTGCTGCTTTCACACTTCTGAAATCAAAGGGCTTTTGGGGGCTGCAGGTCTTTTCTGTTCTGAAGATGCCTTCTCAGATGGGTTACATCGTGTGTGCTTTTCATGAGTACTTCTGTGAAAGGATTGTGGTACCTATAATAGAATAAGTAGGAGGGTTGATATAAGTAATCTCAGCACTCAGAAAGATGATTAATAAGAATTTTTACTATTTTTTTGACTTAGAAATAGAGTGGAGGAAATGGAGAAAAGTAGTTTCATTCAGTAATCCCTTGCTTGGTCCAGAGCAAAGCTTACTTGAAAAAGTATAGAGGAAAAAAAACAACTGGCTCATCAGAACAATCTCCTGCAGCATCTGAATTACAAAAACTAAAGCTGAAAAATAAAAGACTGCTTGAGTGCTCTGTAAATATATTGAAACTATTTATATAAAATGTTGTAAGAACGTGTCCCATGCCAGAGGCACAAATCTGAAGGGAGCTTTTTATTTATCAGCACCAAAGCAGCCATACTCTGAGACATCTTCGTTTACTTGACAGTCTTTTGAAGTGATGAAACATTTTATTTTAAAATGCTTGCTGCTTTGTAAGTTTTCACTTAAAATAAGAGACTGTATTGTACTATTATATCATTCTTAAGAAATTGCAGTATCTTGGTAATGAATCAACACACAGAAAATTATTATGTTCTCACTGAAAGCATTTTAACTTTATGATGATTTGCTGATGAATAATTAATGCATAATTTTTTTTAAAATATTTCATAACTCAGAAATAATGTTTCCATATAATTTTAAAGCAGAAGTTTCATAATATCTGAAAGGCTTAACGTTACTTGAAATATACTGTTTTATGTAGGATGGTAAAAATCATCACAGAAAGAGGAAGAAAGCGGATCGTGGTGATGGGCCTTTATCATCAGAATCCTTATCAGAACCGGATCAGACAGAGGAGGTCAGTGTGAAAGCTAAGTTTCAGATGTTTTAATGCTTTTAGCTTAATGATTCCCATGAGTGAACAGCTAAAACTAGCCCAAATGGAATATATTACTGAAATGTTCTGTTCTGTACAGTTGGTTTTAAGCATGTGGCATGTTCAAAGTTGTATTTTTCTCTTTATTACATACTTCTGATAAGAATTGTTCAGTGCAACTCCTACCACCTACAGTTTATTCTGAATTAATTTTCTTGAAAATTTTCATGGATGTTTTAGAGCTTAATAAAATGAGGCTAATGGTGCTTCACAAGATTTCTCTCTGATCATTGAATACACACAGGCAAGATTCCAAGATTGCTCAGCTTCTTTTGGCTGCCTTTTGCCATCTAGAAAGTGTTGGACATAATCTTACTCTCACCCTTGTGTGTATTTCCTCTCAGGATTTGTGTTCCTGTAGAATTACAGAACACCAAAAGATTCCAGTTTGCTGGATTTTTCCATTAAGATTTCAACCAGGTTATTCACTCGGTAGTTTTACCATTACATCTCTGCTGGCTGCTTGTGCTGCTGTGTTTAAATAGCAGAGTGCCCAAAAATCAGATGTTTATAGGATTATAGTTATTCTATAATATAGCACTGTTACAGTCAGCAGCTGCTCAGTGTGCCCTGCCAGTGCTATGCCATTTCTCATTTATATACAACAAAACTTCAAACTTTGATATAAAACAGCATTTCCAAAGCTGCTGTCTCATTATATTTGATTTTTTTTTTTAATTTTTTTTTTTAGGCTCAAGTGAAAAAGAAGAAAAGCAATGAGGAAAAAGAGAAAGCAACAGCAAGTATCCCTTACAGTCATACTGTAGTTTTAGGACATCCATATCTTGTACTTGGTTAACTTGTAATTTCACAGTAACACCAGTGCTTAATAGTTAAAGTCACATTAATTGAAATTTGAAATTTCTCTCTTTATCTGTTGAAATCACTTTTTCAGCTGCATGATTAAGGAAAGAATTTGTCACTATTTTAACTACATAGATATGTGTGAATTGAGATGTATTTAACATTCGTTGCATCAAGTCAGAATACTCTGTACCAGCCTAACAACTACAAATTTCTACATAGTATCAGATGAGGTAGCAATGTGTCATGTAGATATTGAGGCTGTTCCTTTATAGGAGTATAAATATTCCTTCATTGAGTTTCTCTACCGGACTATAAAAAGGGCCTTAGGACTCAATCTCTGCAGCATCATAATACTAATATAATTCTTCCCTCAACCAAATGAAATGCTGCTGGCAACCTGTTGCTTTTCTCTGCTTTGTGGATACTTTCTCTGATGATAAAGGTGAGACAAGGGTTCAGCAGTGAAAAGGTAGAACCTCAGATATGTCACATGTACCTGAGTTAGGGTTGTAGTTGTGAGCTACTCTGTCTGCACTGTGAGCAGCACTGTTTGTCATTAGGTACCTCATTGCCCAAATGAGTTACGGCACCTAAGCACAGGAGTTTCAGTACTGTTTTCAGCACACAGGGAATTTGAGTTAGTTAGTTTGTCATAAAATTCCTAGTGACTATTTTTTTTTCTTGAAAGAGATAAGTAATGTGTATGGAACAAAGATAAACCAAATTTGCTTTCTGTTGTTGCACCTACTGAAGAATTCCAATTGAACTTGTGCTTGCAAAAGGACAAGTATCTTTCAGTTTTTGATTGAATCTGGTGGTGTTAATTAAGTATGTATGTGAATATTTAAAATTGAAACTATATCTTTTGTTTTAATTAAGGTGCAAATGCTGGAAATTCTAGCCTTGTATAGTTCACTGTGAATACAAGCACCTAATTTAAGTCTGTAAACAGCCAAGTTACTTCCATATAAGATTTCAAAGCACATTATTCTCTCAGATATCTACAAAGCACTGAAAATTTGTTAAAAAGATGAAGAAATATGATAGTGATGATGCTGGGGGGTGTGAAGTAGCCAGACCATGATGGATAAATTGAAAACTCCTCATAATAGTGCAAATCATAAACTTTTTTTGTGTGATCTTTTTTTTCAATAGGCTTTTATAAAAGTCTTCTCTAAAGTACCATAGATTTTTACAGAATCATCTTCCAAAATGTCTTTGTAGAACTTTCATTTCCATGCTCTCATTGTTATTGAATGGAATTTAGTAGATGGCAGTTTTCTCATACTGTAACTTCCTTTTTGCTTTTTTGCTTTTTTTTAGGATAAAGCAAAAAAGAGAAAGAAGCACAAGAAGCATAGTAAAAAGAAGAAAAAGAAAGCTGCTGGTTCAAATTCAGATTTGGAATAGTATTTTTTAAAAAAAAAAAAAAAAAAAAAAAAAAACAAAATCAAAAGCAAGACTATCAACAAAAGTGCAATGACTGAAGGAAATTTAAACTGTGAAATGATAACAAACTTTACCAAACTGCATGAGTTTTCCTGTGTTCTAGAAATATTCCTAATCTTTCAGTAGCCAGCCAGATGCAGCTGTGCTGGGGAAGACCATTGTTATTGCCTGCTGCTTAATACATGAGGTACAACTTTTATTAAGGTCCAGTAAGCAGTGTTGGATGTTTGAAACAACAGAAGATGGTAGTCCAGCTAAGATGTAAAATATTGGAAAGTAAGAGTTAAACTTTTTAGATACCTAAAGTAGTGTTTTAAAGCATTAGTAATAGTCTTTATTTGTAAATCAGGACAGATAAAATCCCAAATTCATCTTGTAGGTTTATATTATACTTAAACAGTTACCAGCTGGTGTCTGCGAATGGCATTTACAAAACGGGAAATTGATGACAACGTATAAAATGCTGCCTTTGTAGTAATTGCCCCATTACTGTCTTCATGCTTATGAGAAAGGGAATGCTACCATTTTGGCTAACTGAATAGGGTGCCTTTGCCTTGATCCTTGCAAGTCTCTGCTATTTTTAATCCATGCAGCATCTCTGATTACAGAGAGGCCAGAACTATTGTCAGCAGACCTTTTCTGAATAAGCAGTTCTGGGCTTCTGAGCATGTGCTTCTGCATTAAGCAAGAGCAATGACATTTTGCAGTATAACTGACATTCAAAGCCAGAAGACTTTACCTCTGCTTCTTTGAAATAGCGATAGATCTGTGCTAGTAAATGAGCCTATTTTATTTAATGTAATTTTGGTTTAGTTGAACACTTCTTGCAAACTCTGGTAGCTTTTTCTTTTCCCTTCGCATTACCTTTTGGATTGTTTTGCATGATTTGTACCTTTATTAAATTAACAAAATGCAGGTAATCATTTGTTGTAACCAGTTCTCTGGATTATGTTCCACATGCAAAGTTTCATCTATGTATTTAGTTATTCTTACAGTTAAGTTCATTGCTGTGTTGAAGTGCACACTCGTGAAGATATTTAGCATGTAAAAAGCAGGGTTTTGATACCTTAACAGCTTCATATTGAAGCTGATTTTACTCTTAAGCAAGTTCAGTGGCAGACCTGTTACATGACGCATCTTGTTAGATTAAGGAAAAAAAACATACTGCCAGAATCTCATTAAATATGCTGATTAAACAGTTTGTATTTATATTTTTGTACTTGAGGGCTACAGAATGTTGACCTAAATCATAAAGCTGTTTTATTTTAAATTAGTTGCTTTAGGAATTGAAAATAAGCTTTTATAAATTAAATGTGCACGCAAGAAAACACAAGCAACCGTTAGATTTTAGTTTTTACATGAAATTCTCCTTGTATCTTCCATTGAAGTACCCGTGGCTGTGCCTGCTTTAGCCTTTAACAACCACCCATCTGTCTGAGTGGTCAGCTAGGGATATGACAGGAACGATCCACCCCTTTTGCCACTGCACAGGTGCTAACTGCTAACTTACCTCTAAAATACCGACGTTTGAAGTATTTTATTGCCAAGGATTTCAAGACCTTTCATAGCTGATAACTAGTCTGCAGATCATAAATAAAAACTGAGGGGAGAGAGATGATTTGACGTTGTCATTCTACAGCGAGGTTGACTTTTCTATTGAGTTCTTAGAAAATACAAACATTGAGTCCCAGCAGTGTCGTACACTAACTAGTCAGATGGCATATGTATATTGTTGGTTGATGCTACTGATCCTCCGCCCCGTTGTGTCAGTAAAGGCAGCGAGTAGTAGGGGTTTGGTTGGGGGCTTTTGTGTTGTTGTTTTTCAGTTGTGGCATTGCAGTGTTGGTAACCGTTTGTAATGAACCATATCCAATGCTCTGCTCTGTGTGATACCTTTGTTGACTTTTACGCAACTGCCTGCAACAGAAGGAAATAAAAATGGGAACGAGAACCACAGTCTTCCACATCCGTAGGCCGGTATGTCATTTTAGTAGTCTGAATAGAACTGCCCTTGTTGTCAGCTGTGTGCTTCACAAACGCTTGCAGCGCTTTGGAAGTTGTAGCTATTAAGGAGCTTACAGGCTTTGTCAGTTCACAGCGAAGCCGCTTTCATGTTGACGATGGAACGTGTTTTGGTTTTCAATACATTAGACAACCACACATAGACTCCTCTCGCATCTTCTTTTCCTCGTCAAAAAAAAAAGCCACAGTGCCGCGTGTACTGAAAGGGCGAGCAGCTGCGGTTTAGTGGGCCAGAGCGGGGCTCACCGACCTGCCAGAGCCGCGCCGTCCCGCTGCTGCCCAGCCGGCACACGCAGCAGGCGGCAGCTGCGCCGTAGCGCTGCTGCCGGGCGCAAACCGTCGCCGCGGGGGCCGAGCGGGGCCGACGGCCATCTCCTCGCGCGGGGCGTTACCCGGCTGCCGAGCAGGCAGCCCCGCCATGCAGCGCCCGGACCGGCGGCTGCCCCGCCCGGGTTGCCCGGGCAGCGGCGAGGAAGCCGCCGCCATGAGCAAGAAGCGGCTGCAGCAGCTGGTGGAGTCGCTGAGCCGCTCGGCCAAGCACTGTGAGTGCCGCGCGGGGCCGGAGATGGCCGCGGGCCGTTTGCTGTGCCCCGCTGCCCGCCCCCTCCCTTAGGAAAGGCGCGTGGGGCCGGGGGCAGGTGCGGGCGATGTCGGTTTTTCGCGTCCCCTGAGCCAGCTCAATGTGCGAGGTCTCTGTATCCCGCGGCTTTCCTCTTTGCGCCGCCGTTCCGCTATTTCGGTGATAAGGTTTGCTTGTGTTTCGGCTCCCCAGTTAATAGAGCTGAAGTGGAATGCCTCATCAGGCTCTTCGACACGGTGATGAGCGAGTCCCACAGCCGCTTTGCCGCGGTCGGCTTCGATCGCAACGTGTTCCGAGACACGCTGCACCGCGCCTTCGGCATGACGGACGACGTGCTCATGGACAGAGGTGAGGTCGGCGGGCTCAGCAGGGCTGAGGGCTTCCTCTGCAACCCTTGGCCAGCCCTTTTGAACAGCGATCTCTACAACAGTTCCCTTGAAGACTTGCCAGGTTACGTGAAAACCTGAAACTAGTTTCTGTCTGTTTTCTTATTCCAGTGAGAATAGTGGATCCCTACTGCCAAGAAAACCCCTTAGACCACTATGAAAGAGGTTGACAAAGCAGAAAAGTTGTATGCGAACAACTGCTACCTCTGTGTGAGGGTGGAAGGGAGGTGGAAGGCTGAAGGGTCCATAGGCGAGGAAAAAAGTACATTGCTGACCCAGTGAGCGTTCCTTGACAAAGGATTGTTGTGTCAGCCATGTAGGGGCTGCCAAAGAAGTCGTGCAGGGTGCTGCTGAGTATATTTCTTTACTCAGAATGGTTTTCCCATGCTTGGGAAGGCTCACGCTCTTGCATGAGGAAGGCCTGGCAGATAAGGAACACCGGGGGTGCTGGGTGTGGATATGTCGGTCCCAGACACCCTTAGTGCCGTGACAGAAGAGGGCAGCGCAGTGCCACTGTCCTTCCTTCTTGTGGCTGCAGGACTGGGTGGCCATTGCAGCTGGTGGAGGGCTCTGTCGTGGACTTGATGAAGGTGTTTCTCTGCTTGAGGAAAAATGTTTTTATCTTTTCATTGAACATAAGGAAATTTTTATTTGCGTTTCTGTATTACATAAATTTAAAATGCATCTCATAACCCTTTCCAGTGTTCCGCACTTTCGATAGAAACAATGATAATTACATCAGTGTGGTGGAATGGGTGGAAGGCTTGTCGGTATTTCTTCGGGGGACGCTGGAAGAAAGGATTAAATGTAAGGTTTATCTGCATGCTAGTACTTAGTGGTAATTATAGTATTCAGGAATATTGAATTACACATCACTTTCATTTTAATAGATTAGTTAATCAAAGTGTTTAATAGTTGACAAGTTTTCTTCTGTAGCGTTCAGTGAAAATGATTTCTGAAACCATTTCTCTGAGACAGATTATTGTGTAATTGTGTATTACTGTGTTGCTGACAGAAAATCTCTTGAACTGAAGCTTGTTCTACTGTATGGTTTTGACAGAATTTATGTTTTTGTATTCCCGCACAAAGCTGAGTAAACATGTAGTTTAAGGGGAAGGGGGTGGCTGGATAACAGCCTCCTCAGGCAAACAAGACCTGTGCCAGCATTCATGTACTGGCACAACGGGGACAAGCAGCAGTTACGTTGATTCTAGCAGTTATTCAGCTCAGAAGTATAGATGGAAAATCTAAGTCCATTTTTTAAAATATTCCTAAGAACCTTCAGGGTAATGATGGAGAAAGATGGTAGAGAAAAAAATGCAGGAACTCTAGAATTTTTCAAAGCAGCAAAAGGGGGCGGGGGGGGAGGAAGAGATTGGGGGTGGAGGGGGAGTATTATAGAAAAAGGAGAATGATAGCATGTTGTTTCCATGGTTTCAGCATCAGCCATCCATAATATGCTGTCAAATTTTATCATAAAGCATTACACTGGAACGTGGCTTGGGATGTCACACCACTAGGATATGTGCCAGGATGTAACATCAGAAGAACCACAGGCCATAAAATATGCAGCCCTGCAGTGAGCACTCTAGGATATACTGGTGTGTGAAGGCACGCAGTGGTGTTTATCATAAGTTTATGCTAGTATGATTTTTCACTGTACAAACCCATTAGCAGGGGAAAAAAAATCTGCCCCCAAAGTAAAAACTTTTGTTTGTTTTTTTAAATAAGTTTTGTGAAGGATACTGAAACGCGTTATAGTCCTAGATTTCTGATTTCAGGGAGGCAGAAGAATTTGCAAGATACATTAGTCAGATGCCTGTGCTGAAAATATTCTGTTGCAGATTTACTCTTTGCCTTTAGAGACAGTTCAGTTGCTTTTTCCATGCTAGTACAACTCATTCTTTTTCCTCTATTTTTCCAAAGCAGTTTCTGAAGTAACTGGGACATGATTTGTATGTTCAAAGCCCTTCTGATATAGACAGCTGGTCCCAGCCACAAGAAGTTGGGTTTCTAAACGAGAGCCTAATTTATGTTCTAAAAAGCTACTCTCAGGGAAGTTAAGATCTGTAAGCTACTATCGTTTTTACGAACTGAAGAAATAGATTTCAACTATAATGGGTAAATAGGCAATAATTGAGCAGTATCAAAATGTGATAGGTATATTTCATACATAAATAGTACGAAAATCATAGAACATCCTGAGTTGGAAGGGACCCACAAGGGTCATCAGGCCCAACTCCTGGCTCCATACAAAACCACCCAAAATTCAAACCCTGTGTCTAAGAGCAGCGTCCAAATGCTGCTTGAATTTCAGCAGCTTGCAGCCATGGCCACTGCCCTGGGGATTGTGTTCCAGGGCCTAACCACCCGCTGGTGAAGAATCTTTTCCCAGTATCTAATTTGAATATGTTAAATTTTGCTCAATACATATGCTGTACAACATATAATTCACCTTTTCTGTCTATAGGCAACAGCTTTATTGATGGGTGATCTAGTTTGTATGAACTTTAAATTTTATCTTTTGAAAAGATTGTTTTGAGGTTTATGACCTGAATGGTGATGGATATATTTCAAGAGAGGAGATGTTTCAAATGCTGCAAAACAGCCTTCTCAAACAACCATCAGAAGAAGATCCTGATGAGGGAATTAAGGACTTGGTAGACATAGCACTGAAGAAAATGGCAAGTACTTTCCTATTGTGACACTTAACATCTCTCAAGCTTGTGCTCCCCATAGGAGGCAGGTCTTCAGGAATTTCAGTTTGGCCCTATGCCTTGAATAATAGTCATAGTGCACCTTTTAAAAAAAATCTGTTTTTACTGATTTTTACTTAAGGCCTTTACTTTATGAGGATTAAATAAATGCTTACTGTAGCTCAGATCTTGTCTGAGCAGACTGATGGCCCAAGGAAGATTTTTGCATTAAAAAAAACATCCACATGAGTGAAATATCTGTTAAGTAAACAGGCAGTTACTACAGTACTTTGCTAAGGACTTCTCCTTGTGTAGGACCATGACCATGATGGCAAACTTTCTTTTGCGGACTTTGAAGAAGCTGTCAAAAATGAAAATCTTCTCTTAGAAGCCTTTGGACCATGTTTGCCAGACGTAAAGGTACATCAGCCTTCAGTTAAAAAAAAAACTGTCTTCTTACTATTTTTAACTATATGTTCAAATTATGGCATTAACTGTCTTTGTATGAAGTTTGCTGAATTCATCTGGTGCTTCAGTTGTGAGATTTTCTGAGTTCATGTCTGCCTGTCACAGTACACATTTCCTGATACAGTCAAACATTGATACCAGGGAGCACAGAAACATACTATGTCGTGCCACTTACCTATGCTGTGGCAGCAATACAACAAATGATTCTCAGTAAGCATCCTCCCAGGCTAAGAAAATGAGATCAGTCTCTTGCAGTTTATCTGAAACTTCTTCAGGAACGCAGTGTCTGTTCTTCCTTCAGTGCCACTGGCTCCACTGCCATTCTTTTGGGAGAAACTGGTAACCTTCTGAGAAAATACCTTAGAATTGTCATCTCATAATACAGTGCTTCTGTTGTTAAATGCCATCCGACTGAGCTTTATTTATTAGCAGTGCACCCAATTCAGAGAGATTTTTTTCCTGAAAGATGGTCATTTGGGATTGCAGTAATTTCCTCAGTGTTAAATGAAACTGAAGCATAGATGTCTGCTTTGTAATAGTCATTTTTTACTAATCCATCATTATACTCTTTGAACTGCATTTTGTTTTTAAATGCCAACAGTCTTGCCCTCATGGAAACAGAAAAACAAAATTCTGACATACATGCAATAAAGCATAGAAACAGAAAAGTTCCATAAGATTGCTGAAAACAAGGCAAGCATTTATTTCACTCAGAACCTACATTTCACGCCAGCTCACCTTCCTAGTAGGCTGGAAGACAGAAGGAAGAAGTCTCATAGCTGTGGCTGCAGTCTGGATTATCTCAGGTCACGAAACAGTAGCTGTTTTCAAAACCTCACATTTTAAAAGGCTGTCAGTAGGCTTTCAGTGACCCAGGGTCAGTACTTCTATTTTTTTCTATCGGGGAAAGTTTTGAAGAGTTTCTTAACAGCATTTACTTTCACTGATCACAGCCCAGAAAAATGATTTGCTTTTTGTCAGAATTGGTGGTAAATCAGGGCTACAATTCCAGCCACTTGTGGCAACAAGTAGGAAACTGAGTCAGTTTCTTGATTCCACTGTTTGTGTGTCTGTTCTGCACCCTACCCAACGGTACCTTTTTACGAGGTCTCTAGTTCCTTTTTTAAAAAGAACTCTGTTTATATACCCTTCCAAATCCCCAAAAATCAATAGATTTCAGCTATGAGCACTTCTGAGCATGAAGAAAGCTCAGAATTCACAAGCTTTCCTAGTGTGGTTATAACTCCAAACACTGTGGTCAGTTTCTTGATGACAGTAATGATACTGGATTTAGCTTTTCTATGCTACAAAGTATTGTTTCACTACTTATACATTTCAGTTGGCCCTCTTTTTCTAACTAAATGTAAATGTTCTAGGTAACTGAGAAAAAAACTTATATTTTTCTCCTGATTTAACAGAGCAGTATGGCATTTGAAAGGAGGACCTTCCAGGAAAAGCGTAAACAGTAACTCCAACTGGAAGACTGCTCTAAGAATTCTTCATCATTCCTCATAGGACAGTAGAAATAAAAGCAACACAAAATAATTGATATCTTAAATTTCAATATTCCTTTACTGTAAAAGCTGTGGAATAAATAGAATTTGCTTTTATTACTTTAACTAATTGCAGTTCTTTAAATACACAGGACAAGGTTGCTACAGTATTACACTGGTTTAGTTTTTAATACTGGGACTGTTTTTAACAAGGAATTGCTTGGAAATGCAGTATAAAACAATTTTGTTTTTTAAATTAAAAAAGTAGTAAGTATTTTAAATTATATCCTCAATAAAGAACTGTAGAAAGATGCTGCCAGCAGTATCTATATTCTTCTTCTCTGCTTTACTGGTGGCTTGGTGGCATTAGTGCCTGGTTTTTCCACAGGTGTACTCGAAACAGAATCTGCTACCTGAAACAGGGAAAAAAAAATTCTAAGTGAAGCATAACCATTGTTGGGTTTTTTAATGTTAGTTTTAGAATAAGGCTGTTTCTTCAGTCTGTGAGTACTAACAGGCATATATTCTTATAATCACGCTTGCATTGATTTTTTCAATAGAAAAGGGAGAGAAGTAACACCAAAGGCAGCATTAAATGTGAGAGCTAAAACTCGTAAGAAATGCAAGTGTGCTAGCTATTCTTTGTTTGTTTTTGAGAAAATTTTAATCACACAAATCAATTTCAGATGCTCCATGATATACACTATTCAGTATTTTATCACTTGCTCTCCATAGCAGAGGTGCTTCAAAATAAAGTCTGGTACACTTTTTGGACTTGGTTGGATATTTTGGGAAGGGAAAAACATGTTTTTGGCAAGCATTTTAGAAATATACTTTTTTTTAAAGGATGTGTGAAAATGAAAATATCAAAACTTTAAGAATCCATACCTCTTTCAGTTTATTTCGAATCAAGGTGGCTGAAGTATTCAGTGAATCATCATCCATATCCACTTTAGGTATTTCTGGTAGCTGTGGACCAATAACGATGTCAGTACTGTCCACATTTGTTTCAATGAGGGCAGATTTGTTACCCTCTTCTCTCTTCCTCCTACGTTCCTGCAGGTGAGTTGTACGAGGCATAAACCTGTCAGTTCCATTATCAACTGGAACTGTTCTTTGCTGAATTAAAGGCAGTGGTGAAGCACATCCTCCTGGATGTGTCTTCAGAGATAGGGATCTCTGACCGAAGTTCCCAGAGACTTCAGCACTGTGGCTGCCACACTGGGGAAAAGTCAATAGGCCCTGACTGTGATTGCCAGAAGGACATTCCGTGTTTTGGGACAACCCGTGAGAATCTGGAAAGCAGGATGGATCCCAGTGACTAGCTGCATACGATGCTGATGTGCTCCACTGACTGTCAGACTTGGTCTTTCTAGGCCCCTCTGTTTTCTTCAACAGAAAGCAATCTTTAAAACAAAGAAGCCAAAAAAAAAAAAAAAAAAAACAAACAAAACCTTCATTATTTTATGCCATTAGTTCTAACACATAATGAGTGTTCAATACAGTGACAGAAACGCTACCAGCAACACTTCATTCCCGGTTACCTTTCTGTGATTCTGCTTAAGAAGTACCTTAAGAAATAACCTCCTGCAATGAATACTGATATCCAAGTACATAAGCATAAGGAAGGAGAGGCCTGTACTTGGCACTGTACTTATTTTACAGCTTGTCCATCCTTCAGCGCTGCCTGGGAGCTCAGCAGCAAGGCTGCCTGTCAGCCCAATCCATTCTTCACATTCCTTACATAGCCAAATGGCAGGCTGGAAAAGGTTTGGGTTTTTTGGTTGGTTCTTTTTATGTGCCTTTTTTTTTCCCCTCTTACAAAACTGTCTTTTTGGCTATGCCTGAAAGAACTGCAACAAGGGGGAAAAAACTGATCCCCACTTTCCTGGCTGTGCTTTAAATTTCAGGTAACATTTTGAAAAGAGAACAAGAGAAGCAAACAGTGAGGTTTTAAAGCTTTAAAGTGCACGTTAACTAAAACATTGCTTTCTGAAAGATGCATCTTTAAAAATAACAGAAATGTCCTAATTCTGCATCTTTTAAAACAGCTAAATACAAAATATTTTCTTTAATGGATGCTTTTGGCTTTACCAAGACCCACCAACCACTGAAATCAAGATTCTACATAAAATTTAGTTACAAACCTCTTTGATTTGTTGCTTTTGCTATGTACTTCCTTCTGTCCTGCAGCTTCTCCCTAGTTTCTTGGACTGTTTCAAATTCTGGCGCATAGCACACGTGTAGCAAACTCCCAAAGAAACTCCGTTCATCCATTTTTTTCTTGGCCACCCTGAAGGAAACTAAATGGCATTAGCAGAACTGTGGGCTTTACTTCAACTCTCTGGAATGTAGATCATACACAGAGGCCGTGAAGGATTAAAACAGCAAAAGGCAGTTACTGCTCTGTACAATACCTCGCACATTGGAGATTCTGGAATTTTATAAGATAAACTTCAGTAAATTGCTCTGCAGGATATTCATCGAGGGCATGGTACTCTTCTATGGCACCGTACAAGGCAAACTGCTCCACTAATTCCTTCATGACACCCAACGCAGGAACTCCCTGGATCAATAAATAACGAGATTCCAAGTTGATGGTATACACCTGAAAGAAACAGAGTATTCTCAAACGCCCGCGTTCTGGCTTCACTGCAAAAATAGCAGCTCAAAGCACTCGCGTTGCCGCTGGTGCTGAGCCGCTCTCGGGATGGCGGAAGGCCCGCTGCGCTTCGCGCACAGAATGGGATCCGCAGCAGGAAGGCGGGAGCCTGGCCGGCAGACAGCGAGGTGCGGCTACCCGGGACCGCCGCGGGGAAGAACGACCGCAAGCCTCCTACTCGTCGCAGAACGTCAGCGAGAGCTGACGCTTCTCCACGGCTCGGAGCGTTTGCGGAGGCCATCTCCGCACGGCGCGGCCAGCCCGCCCTCGCTCCGCACCTTGACGGCCCTGGGCCGCCGCCCCTCGCGGTACTTGGCGCGCGACCCGCAGGCGCCCAGCTGCTGGTGGTGCCTGCACGCCTCCCCCAGCGCGCCGCCACCGCCCGCCGCCATCTTCCCAACCGCTGCCGCTCCCCGCGCAGGCGTCTCTAGCCGCTCACCGAGCAAGCAGCCAATCGGACGGAGCGCGGCACGCCGCCCTTCTCTTATCGGCTCTTCCAGGAGCGGAAGCGGGCGCCGTCGAGAGGCCAGGCGGAACGAGCCGCGGCCCCCGATGGAGCGGCCAATCTGAGGACGGGAACGCGTAGATGCCGCGGCCGCATTGGTCGGCAGCGGGTCGTACCATTGTCCCGGGGGCGGCAGGGGGGAGGAGAAGGAATCTCGGGAAGGCCCTGCCGCCCCAAGCGGGCAGTTCGGCGCCAGGGCGGGACGGCGCGCAGCGGCGGCGGGGCCCGGCTCAGCCCGGCCCAGCCGGCCGCCAGCATGTGGGGCAGCGGCAACCCCGGCGGAGGGGGCGCCGGAGTCGCCGCGGCGACGGTCGTGCTGAGCGGGACCCGGGACTGCTTCCTGCACCTGCCCGCCGTGCTGGCCTCGCACCTCCGCCTGCAGCAGGTACCGGGCCGGGGACGCCCCGTTCGGAGAGCATTGTGGGAGAGTGGGGCCACCCCACCGCATCCCGTCGCTATGGCGACGCTCGGAGCCCTCCTCTCTCGCCCGACGTCAGCCGCCCCCGCTGTCGCTATGGAGACGGCGAGCGTCCTCCGCACGGGCCGGGACCCCTCGCCCCCTCCCCGGGAGCTCTGCGCCCGTGACGACGCACAGCCTATACGGCGCGGCGCGGCTCGGACGGCCCGTCGGGTAGTGCCTCTGGGCCCGGCCCTGGCGGGCCGGAGTGCTGCCGGGCGGGGCCGTGCCGAGCGCCGGGCTTCTGGCACGCGTTCTGCTCAGTAATGCGTGCAGCCGGCCGCAATTCGGCCCTGAGCGCGGCGTTACGTTTGCTGCAGGAAATCCGGCGTAAACGTACGTGTTGTGGCAGGCTACTTATTTCGCGCAGTCTGCAAAATGCGGACGGTTGGGCTCTGATACCCTGATAGAAGTAACACGGAATGCGGTCTGCTGAATCACGATGTTCTAAGGGGCTTAAATCACGGAATCGTAGGGGAAGGGACCTCAAGAGATCAGCGAGTCCAACCCCCTGCTAAAGCAGGTACCCTGCAGTAGCTCATACAGGTGGGCAGCCAGACAGGTTTGAATAGCTCCATAGAAGGAGACTCCACAGCCTCTCTGGGCAGTCTGTTCTGGTGCTCTGTCGCCCTTACTGAGAGTTCTTCCGCTTATGTTAATTGATGATCCTGAACAAAGTGCAATCTACAGCTGAATCTGATTGCACAAGGCATGGGGTAAGTGGGTGTTAAAACAGCCCTGGGAACTGGGAGTTGTGTGAGGAGTGAGACACGTAGAAGAAAAGCTTTATCCTTGTGAGCACAGGTGTGTGACATACTCCGGTAAAGCAGTCTTGAAACCAGGTGTGTTTCCAAATCTTAACAAAGTATTGAGTAATATTTGAAATTATTAGGAAGTGAATTGTGTGTATTCTGTACAGAAAATGACCTGCATAGAAACATTGCTATCTTAAAAAGCGTATCAGTGGCATATTCACAGCACGTTGTCTTCATCACTTGGTTTTCATCAAGTTATGTCATTTTTGCAAAAACCTTAGGAAGTGAGAATTGAGTAATGCATCATAGAACAGTCTCAATGAGAAAATGGGATGAATGTATCCAGATTCTTAAGTTTGGAATGGAAATAGCTGAGCGGTTCTGAAAGAGATGGATGTGATCATTTTGGTATGAGTTGATAAGACCTGTGACTTATTCTAAATGTTGCCCGGCTTGTGACAGCTCTCCTGGGATCTGTGAGAATGTTAGAGTGCATGAGAAATTTAGTCATATGCCCATGTGTTTTCCATACTTAGGAAGTAGGAGCTATGCATTTCTTTAGATACGTGGTATAATGTAGAAGAAGGGAAGTACAGAAAGGTTTCCTTGCTTCACAGCCTATAAAAGTGAAAGTCTGTATAAGAGAAGTAATCAATCCACAAGAGTTGTACAAATAGGCTACGTGAAGAATTCTATGGGAAGTCTCAATTAACAAGAAGTTAACTACTCTGCCAGCATCACAGATTTTCTGTCCTGGAATCACCCTTTACTAGTGTATCATAACCATTGCAAGTTGTTGTTACAGAGTAGTAACAGGCGTGTAAAATCCAGAAAACACTTTTAAATCCCTTGTAGGCCTTTATGCAGTTACAGGTTAGTGATCTTTCTTGCCTGGTTTGAAAACGATTCATTTTATTTATCTGAAACTCATAGGGCCAAGCTGTGAAAGTATCCTGTGGTGATGAGCCCATATACTTGAGCTGGATGGAAATAAGGCATCGAGGTCACCGGAGTGAAAATATTGCAGAGATGAACAGGCATTTAGCAGAGAAACTTGGCATTGCAGATGGAGAACAGGTTTGAAATGCCATTTCCTTCTTTCTTTTTTTCTTCATTTTGGGTTTAAATTTTCTTCCCTTATTTTCCCTTCCACTGTATAATCCTACATCCTCTGTCTCTAAATATGCAGTTCAATTTGCCTCTTACTCTTGGGCAGGGTATTTAACTTGTAAATGATTCTTTCATTGGAGAAAAGTTGGGAAAATTTCCTAGAGGCAGAGAAAGCGTTGTGTCACGGGATGTTAATACCTCAACATCCAGATTGTGGGGTTTAAAATTAGTGTGAGTGTAAAGACTATACTGTTCTGCTCTTGTTTTACTCTATGCCCCATTATTGTGTGGTGTATCTATGTATTTACGTTCTCTGGTGAGGTAAATTTTATTTAGCATAATTTTTGGCTCAAAGCAGTGTCTTATCTTAGCTTGTTTACATTCCTAGCATATTCTCCCTAGAAATTATATATCTCTCTGCAGAACCAGAGAGGTGTTGTAAGATAATATACGATGAAAACTAGTGTTTGTTCTCAGCTGCTAAAGCTCTGGATGCTGTGTTTGTTCACTTCCATTCACGTATTGTTGAAGTCCCCAAGCTTGTGCAATGTAATCCATCCTTAACACCCTGAACTTCCATCTCCTGCTTATGAATTACCTTGTGTGGTTAAGAGGAACTATGTTCAAGGCAGTGAAAACATATAATGAAGATGCCAGTTTTCTAGATGAATTTTCTAGGTAGAGTTTTTATGCATTTAAGGAGTTAAATTATTTTGAAAAAATGTTACTTCTGTCAGATATTCCTGGAACCCTGTTTGCACGTCTCCTCCTGTCAGCAAGTAGAAGTGGAACCACTCTCAGCAGATGATTGGGAAATACTGGTAATAAAACCTTTTCCAGTCTTCATGCCATTTTTGTGCAAATGACAGAGAATATAGATAGAAGCTGTTGTCACAATTCCCTATTCTTTTCTGCTCCTAAACAAATACTAAATGTTGTGGGTTTTCATTGTATTTTGTATTTCAAATGATGCGTAAGAAAAATATGTAGAACTTCTATGTTCAAGCATGTTTTAAAGGTGTCCAAGCTTATAATGATACCACATTTTCCCAGGAACTGCACGCTCCCTCTCTTGAAAAGCATCTTCTGGACCAGATCCGAATCGTATTCCCAAAAGCTATCTTTCCTGTATGGGTTGAACACCACACTCACATTTACATCAGAATTGGTAAGCAACAGTGAATGCTTTGGTGGTGCCTCGAGTAAGCTGTCTTGCAAGAGTGGATGCATTCATTCATCTGATTTGTTCATACTCAGGTACACTTGTGCCAGCAGCCCCCTATGGGAGATTAGAACCATGCACAGAGCTGCTGATATGCCCAAAAGCACGTGAGCTTGAGGAAAACATCATAGACATGCCTTCTACAGAAAGTGACATCTTACTCAAGAGTTTTGTGAAAAATAACATGCAGCAAGACGAAACTGTAAAGGAGCCTTTTGCCAGTCAACCTCAGTTAAATCCAGGAGTCCCTGAACAGAGTAAGGCTGATGCAAATGTGACGTTTGGCTCAAATGTTCTCCCAAATATGTGGAATTTCATAGGGAGCATTTTCTCTCGTACAGCTGAACAGAAACAAAAGACTTTGTGTGATAAAGATGAAATGAGCACCTTCAAAGACAAGCTGCTGAACTTAATTCACATGGATTCCATTTTTAGAGTTTGTCAGTCCCAGCCTCCCAGCGTACAGAATGCATCAGCCCTTCATGCATTTCTGAAATACAATGCCGTTCATATTTTTCCATGGAATTTAGAATTTACTGATTTGGATCCAAATGCTGTAGTTTCTTACGGGAAAATAAACGAGCTGCTTTCCCCCAGACAGCGTCATCAAGAAGCAAAGCAAAATCTGCCATCTGAAAAGCAAAAACATTTGCCTGGTACGCAAGACAAAAATAATTCCAATAGCATTCAAGCGTCCAGTGAGGGATCTGTTGTTCAGATCGTTTGGAATGGATTTGAAGACCTAAAGAGTGTCATAGAGTATGGCAACGGTGGGGAAGCCCTACATGTTGGAAGAGTTTGGGTCAGTTTGAGCACACTATCTTTTGGGGCTTTTTATTGGATAATATTTGCTATTGGATAACTGGAACTGATGTGCAGTTTGGGGGTAGGCTTTGCAGAAGGTTCTTGAGTAAAGTCAATCAAATAATAATTGCTAGAGCTATGCCTTGCTGAGCCTTCTCACTGATATTAGCATCATGCAGTGTACACTGAGCTTCTGCACCCCTAGCATTTTGGCACCAAATAGGAAAACCCTTCAGTGTTGCTGGAGGTGCATATTTTCTTCAGAATTTCTTGGCAGCCGTACATGAGAACATGAATGTATCTGTTCATGTGCATTCAGTAATGCTTAATGAAGTGTTTCTTCATCAGATACTGCTATAAAATATGCTCTGGACTCTAGGTGTCATCATGCTATAAAGTAATGGCATAATGTATCCTATTGTTACCTGATATTTACAGGTGCTTTTATATACTGTTGAAGTTTTCATTAAAATCTTGCAGTACTATCAAATAATTAGCTTTTATACCTTTTAAAGTCTCTTGGTCTGTTATATATTGTT